AGTGACACAAAACTGCAACAGATCCGTGTTGAGACTGAATCAGACAGCCAGCTCATTCGGCTGCAGCAAGTGATTCTGAATGGATGGCCTGGAGAGAGGAAGAAGTGCCCGGCAGAGGTCAGTGATTTCTGGAACTTCCGAGACGAACTCTCATTGACTAATGGAATCATTCTCAAAGGTGAGAAAATAGTCATACCAACCTCACTCAGACAAGAAATGCTCACACGTATTCATGTTGGTCACATGGGTGTCGAAAAGTCAAAGCAAAGAGCACGAGATGTGTTATTTTGGCCAGGAATGTGTAAGCAAATAGAACACATGGTCGAAACGTGCGATACTTGCCTGGAGCAACGTCGTTCAAACACTAAGGAGCCCATGATTTCTCATGAAATACCAACCAGACCATGGCAAGTCGTAGCTTCAGATCTTTTCACATGGAATCATGAAGAATACATGATTACAGTAGACTACTACAGCCGGTTCTTTGAAGTGGACAAACTCACCAACACAACGACCGCCACTGTAATCAGCAAACTGAAAGTGATCTTCGCGAGACATGGTATCCCAGAGAAATTTGTCTCCGACAATGGTCCACAATATCGAAGCAAGGAGTTCGAAGACTTTGCAAAGACATGGGGTTTCACACATACCACCACTAGCCCCTATTACCCCCAGAGCAACGGTTTGGCTGAGAAGACTGTGCAGATCACAAAATCGATGTTGACAAAAGCCATGATGGACAGGAAAGATCCCTATCTCAGTTTGTTAGAGTATAGGAATACACCTGTTGACAGCTTTAAGTCACCTGCTCAGCTCCTTATGAGTCGCAGACTGCGATCCATACTGCCAACCACAAACAAGCAGCTCCTACCTGAAATTGTCAAAGTCACAGAGGCTCGCTGTAAAAGGGCAAAGCAGCAACAGCATCAGAAAAAGTATTATGATCGTTCAGCGCATCAGCTGTCACAACTTCGCATGGGACAACCTGTTCGCATACAGGAACATGGCCTCTGGAAGCCTGCTGTTGTTGTTCATCCAGCCAACACAGAAAGATCCTATCATGTTCGCACTTCAGATGGTCAGGTGTATCGGAGAAACCGACGTCACCTTCTCTGTACAAAGAAGGAAGCTGTGGAGCCTTGTGGTTCTACAAACATTGAAGAAAATCAAAACAGCAATACATCGCCAATGTTTCCTGTACATGCTGAAATACCAGCACAGCCTTTAAAAGTCAGAGAGGTGCAGCCCATACAATATCATACCAGATCCGGTCGAGCAGTGCGACCAAGAGAAATCCTTGATTTGTAATTTGAAATTCGTCTGGGGTGTAGGCGGATCGCTGCCCCTGTGAGAGAACGAAATCTAAAATCTGGTATGGGCTGTCAGAAAGAAATGGACACTTTGTTCTTATATTAAGTGCCTTCTGTTGCAATTCTGTTTAATCCAGCACCCTTTATGTTTATGCTAAAGTAATGTTTAATAATTTAGATATACACTTCAGTGATGCAATGTGTCATTTTCTTTTGTTGTTTTTTTGAAAAAAAGGGAGATGTAATATTCATGTAAGCACTGAATATTTGCGACACTAATTTACGACTAGTAGAAGAGTTTACTAGTGATGGTTAACCTGTAATACGGCAACACGTTGTGGAAAAAAAGCTGGAAGTTGTTGGTACTCACTGTCCGTCTCCTTATTTAATTACTGCACGCCCCGTGCAACAAATAAAGTTAAACACAAAACAAGACAGCTGGTCAGCTCTAGGAAGAGTACTGGTCGTTCCAAACATCTTCCACTTACGGATGATGGAGGCCACTGAGCTCATTGGAACTTTCAGAGCAGCAAAAATTTTTCTGTAACCTTCCTCAGTCTTATGCCTCGAGGCAATCTTGTCTCGGAGGTCAACAGGCAATTCCTTTGTCTTCATGCTTGGTTTGTGCTTTGACATGCACTATTAACTTTGGGACCTTATATAGACAGGTGTATTTGCCTTTTCAAATCATTTCCAATCAACTAAATTTATCACAAGTGAACTCCAATTTAGCTGCTAAAACATCTCAAGAATGATCAGTGGAAACAGAATGTACCTGAGCTCAATGTAGAGCTTCACGGCAAAGGTTGTGAATACGTACTGTATGTACATGTGATGTTTTTCACATTGTCATTATGGGGTATTGTGTGTAGAATTTTGAGGAAATAAATTAATTTAATCCGTTTTGGAACAAGGCTGTAACGTAAAAAAATAAGGAAAAAGTGAAGCATTATGAAGACTTTCTGGATGCACTGTAAATTCAAGCAAAATATCACAAAAAATGACAACCCACAAAATTTTTAATTTTTTTTGTTTTTTTCCCCATCTATTTAAAATTTGTATTTAATATTTTTCTATAAAAATAAATTTGGGTTTGCTAGTTTTTATACCATTATTGTAATATATTTTGTTAGATTTAGCTTCAGCTGACTAATCTAATGTATATGCACAAATATAATATTGTATATTATAAAAATATAAATTCAAAAGATAGATTTGTGAGAGGTGTTTTTATATATGCTGAGCACTGTATGTGCATGGCAGTTTAGCTGAAAATGCATGTTTTTTCATACAACACAGGGATGAATAAATACCTTGTGTTGGTGGCTTCATCTACATGTTCTGTAATGTTTCAGAATGAGGTCAGTAGGTGGTCTTTTGAGGCTGTTTGACCACATCCAACCTTGTGAGTGTCTATATCATGAAAGCAATCCCATTTACACTACAATATAATGCATTTCTCTTTTCGACCTATCTAAAAGATACCTTTTATATCTGTATTTAGCATTGTCCACTTTTAATTGCCTTTTAGAGTTCATTTGAAAACACATTGTAATAGCTGGTGTAAATGGGGCCTGATATGCTACTGACTGCTAGGAACTTTTTCTAATAACCCTAACAGTGTATTGAACCAAGACTCTAGTGAGAGTTAGAGTTTATGCATTTACAAGGTTGCTATAGTCAGCAGAATGTCATGAAGTCTAAACAAAGAGCTTTTCTAATATAAAGGCTGTGTTTCTTTTCACCTTTGTGTGCTATTTGTATGTTATTTATCAGTCTGGCTGGAAACGTTGAGGTGTTAAAAGAGCACTGTGTGATCTGCTGAAACTGTGAGTCTTGCTTTCAACAGAAGTGAAAACAGCAAGTTTATGAATATATGATACAGAAACCACAGCCTATTCTGTCACAGTCCTGTTTTCAGCCTCAGTGCAAAAAATAATCTGTCACCCTCCATTTAGCCATTACTTCCTTCTTGGTTGCGTTATGCTAGAGTTAGCAACAGCTTGATGATAGCTGTTGTTTGTTTCACATTGAAACATCATAGATAAAAGTCATATAGTTTGTTTAATGAAGAAAATTAAAGTTACTGTATGTCACCTTCACTGGATGATGTGAGCATGTGACTTCTGTGCATGTGACACTGTGTTCTCAGTCTGATTCAGATTTTTTTCTTTTGCAAACAATTAGTATATACTGTATTGCCTATCATAGATTGCTATCTATGGCTTCCTGTTTATCTTTTTTTCTGGCGCTCATGTACAGTGCACTAACTAACTAAATAACAGTAGGAAAACAGTTGTTTATTGTAAATTATAATTAGTGACCCTACTCACTGAGTATTTTTCTTAATCGTATTATTCATCATGAATATGTTTGATTATGGCATGCAGTATACTGTACATGTGCATTGTCACGAGTTTATTGCTGTCCAGACCAGTTGCATTAGTTTTTAAGGCCCTGTGCAGTCTTCTCCAGCACATACCAGAAATTCTCAATAGGGTTAACATGTGGACACTGTGATGACCATTCTTCATTCATTTTCTTTTTAGCTTAGTCCCTTTATTAATCTGGGGTTGACACAGCAGAATGAACCGCCAATTTATCTAGCTTAATTTTAAGCAGCGGATGCCCTTGCAGTCGCAACCCTGGGAGACATCACTGGGAAACATCCACACACACTCATTCACACACATACATTATGAAACATTTTACTTACCTAATTCACCGGTACCGGATGTCTTCAGACTTGTGGGGGAAACCGGAGCACCCAGAGGAAACCCATGTGAATGCAGGGAGAACATGCAAACTCCACATCGAAATGCCAACTGATCCAGCCAAAGCTCAACCAGCGACCTTTCTTGCTGTGAGGTGATAGCACTACCTACTGCGCCACCACGTCGGCCTACTGTGGTGACCAATCTATTTGTATAAATGATGTCTCATGCTCCCTATCCCTTTTTTATTGTTAGTTATGCTAGTATATCATCTCAAATGGGGCGACATAGTGACTCACAGCAAGAAGGTTGCTTTTTCAAGTCCCGGCTGAAGCAGTTGACATTTCTGTGTGGAGTTTGCATATTCTCCCCATGTTCACGTGTGTTTCCTCCAGGTGCTCCGGTTTCCCCCACAGTCCAAAGACATGCAGTAGTGTATGTGTGTCAATGTGAGAGTGTATGGGTGTTTCCCAGTACTGGGTTGCAGCTGGAAGGGCATCCGCTGTGTAAAATTTATGCTGGATAAGTTGGCGGTTCATTCTGCTGTCACGACCCCTGATGAATAAATGGACTAAGCTGAAGGAAAATGAATAAATATCATCTTTTTAAAGTCATGAGATTATTTGTTAAATGTTCCCAGAGATGGGTAAAAACATGCTGGATTGGAGGTTCATTCCGCTGTGGCGACCCCGGAATAATAAAGGGGCTAAGCCGAAAAGAAAATGAATGAATGAATGAATTTGTTAAATGTCTCCACATTTTTTGTTTATGCATTTGAAGCCAATGGCCACCAAAACTGATGTTCTTTTAAATATATTTGTTTGTGTTCAACGCAATAAAGTCAGTCTAAACTTTGGGGGAATCTCTTTTAAGGGGATTTGTTTTTATATTACAAATGCTACATGGTACATCATGTACATGAGGTACATAAGTTATTTGTATTAGGTTGTTTTTAGAATGTTTGTTTTCTTCGCAGAGGAGGAAAGGAGAGTCCGAGCCAATGATAGAGAGTACAATGAAAAATTCCAGTACGCTGTAAGTTAAACACAACCTGCACAGCTCCATGCTTTTAAATGAAATAATTCTGGCTTTAATGTACATTAAATATCTATTATTTCATTCCCTGTCCACAGAGCAACTGCATCATGACCTCAAAGTACAACATTATTACCTTCTTACCAGTCAACCTGTTTGAGCAGTTCCAAGAAGTTGCCAATACCTACTTCCTGTTTCTCCTCATACTGCAGGTAATACTCCAAATCAATCTGTAATGTAAATGCTGAATATTAGAGGGCAGATAAGCAGTTGTTTGTTACATACACTGTAAAGATTCATCCTTTTTCAGTGTCTATAAGATAAACTCACCGACCACTTTATTAGATACACCTTACTAGTACCGGGTTGGACACCCTTTTGCATTCAGAACGGACTTAATCTATCGTGGCATGGTTTCAACAAGGTACTGGAAATTGCCCTAAGAGATTTTGGCATATTGACATGATAACATCACGCAGTTGATGCAGATTTGTCGGCTGCACATCAATGATGCAAATCTCCCGTTCCAGCACATCTTAAAGGTGCTCTGTTGATATCTGGTGATTGTGGAGGTCATTTGAGAACAGCGAACTCGTTGTCATGTTCAAGAAAGCATTCTTAGATGATTTGTGCTTTATGTGATGGTGCGTTATCCTGCTAGAATTTATCATAAAAGGATGTACATGGTGACCTCGGTTGTAACCAGTGTTTATTTGAGTTACTGTTGTCTTTCTATCTGCTCAAATCAGTTTGGCCATTCTCCTCTGACCCCTGGCATCAACAAAGCTCACTGGGTATTTTCTCTTTTTCTGACCATTCTCTGTAAACCCTAGAGATGGTTGTGCGTGAAAATTCCAGTAGATCAGCAGTTTCTGAAATACTCAATCCAGCCTGGCACCAACAACATGCCACATTTAAAGTTACTTAAATCACCTTTCTTCCACATTCTGATGCTCAGTTTGAACAGCAGCAGATCATCTTGACCATGTCTACATGCCCAAATGCACTGAGTTGCTGCCATGTGATTGGCTGATACCAATACCAATTCTAGTTGATGCATTACATTTTAAAAGACTTAAAGGTAACCGTGTGTATATTTTGTTCCAGTTGATTCCACAGATTTCCTCATTGTCCTGGTTCACCACCATTGTGCCTTTAGTGCTGGTGCTGAGCATCACTGCAGTTAAAGATGCCACCGATGACTATGTGAGTCTCCATCATACACTGTGCACACATACTGTAACTTCCAAACTCACTTCCAAATTCATATGAAAACAAATCCTGGAATAATTTATAGTAATTACTTTAGTGTTTTTAAATCATTTATTATTGTCCAGTACTTAAACAGACTGTACTGTAACATTGAAATCACCAAACACACCACAAGTACCACAGAAAGAATCAGTCAGATATACACACACATTTCACACACACACATCTGTTTCTTTAACAGTTTCGTCACAAGAGTGACAACCAGGTGAATAACCGTCAATCTCAGGTCCTCATCGGTGGCATGTGAGTCATATTTCAGTTTACACACTTCCTTTTACATAGTGTTAACAAGAAAAACATCTGCTATGTAAAAAACATTAATGTGCGATGATCTTTTGTGCATAGTGAATGTCCTGAACATTTATTCTTTGAAAATATTAATTAATTGTTGTATTATCCAAATAGCAATGCATATAAAAATATATTTTCACAATGCTAGATAAGCATGCTGTTTATAAATTGTTTTTATATTTACACATTTCACAGTTAATACAAAGTTTATACTGTAAAAATGCAGTGCAGAATAATTATGATTGTACAAGTGATCTACGTGTTATTTGTAATCTTTCAGGTAGCTTTTGTAAAAATGTCAACATATGAGTGAAAGTGTTCCATCATCATTCAGTGTAACACATAGTTATGTAAAATGCAACAAGATACATATTCTGATGTCTATTATCTGAATTTATAATAGATTATAATGGGTAAAACAGCAGTTTGAAACAACTATTTCAATGTGGCCATCACATGTGTTTTGTATTCTAAATACCTTACACTGAATGACATTTTAGTATGTGTCTACTGTAAATCATGATAGTCTGATAGTCATTATTTTTCTTTTAACTAAATGGGGACTTCATTTAAAGGTTATTATTTAGGATAATTTATATACATATAATGTTTTTATCTTATTATTTTATAAATATGGCAATAAAATAGCACTTTTCTACCTTTTCAGTCTTCAGAAGGAGAAATGGATGAATGTCAGAGTGGGTGACATCATCAAACTGGAGAACAATCAGTTTGTTGCAGTGAGTTTTCCTCTTTCTTCCTCCATGATGTTAATTAATGAATTAAACATGGTGTAATAAAATAAAAAGACAGTTGTCCAGCTCAGCAGTCCTGGACGTTTTTAATCCAGGGTCATTTATGCAGACTCACAGTGTCTGATCCATTTGCTCTTGAAAGCTGCACTGTAATATTGATCCAGTATCTCTGACTCGCTGTTTATGTAACTCTGTCTCTGAGTATAAACACCAGTGTAGATGTCTCATTAAAGTGATAAATGTACTTTTGACGTGTTAATTTAATAATATATTATAATAGTTGGTGATGCAGGGGCACAGTATGTAGTGCTGTCGCCCTTACAGCAAGAAGGTCACTGGTTCGAGCCTCTGCTGGGTCAGTTGGCGTTTCTGTGTGGAGGTTGCATGTTCTCCCTACTTTACATGGGTTTCCTCAGGATGCTCTGGTTTCCCCCACTGTCCAAAGACATGCAGTACAGGTGAATTGGGTAAGCTAAATTGTCCGTGGCGTATGAGTGTGTATGGATGTTTTCCAGAGATGGGTTGCGGCTGGAAGGGCATCCACTGCGTAAAAACCTGTGCTGGATAAGTTGGTGGTTCATTCTGTTGTGGCGACCTCGAATTAATAAAGGGACTAAGCCAACAAAAAAAAAATCAAACATAAAAGTTATGTTCATATTAACTAAATGAAAATTAGAAATGATCACCTCACAAACTAACTGAAGCATGAAAAAAGCTTATTTTGATGTCTAGTAATTATTTTTTGTTTAATTTAAGGCTGACCTGCTCCTGTTGTCCAGCAGTGAACCTCATGGCCTCTGTTACATTGAAACTGCAGAGCTGGATGGGTATGACTTTGTTTATTACTTAAATATTGTTTGCTGTAAAGGGATAAAGTTTTCCCCAAACTAGCAAATTTTGTCATCATGTATTCACGTGCTCCAAATCTGTATTATAGTATTTATTTAGAAAACAAATATATTTTGAAGAACTTTGAAAACCAAAAAGTTGGTCCTCATTGTATAAGAAAAAATATTTTATTAAAGTCAATGGCTACCAGAAACATTCTTCAGATTTTTTTTATTTACATCCAACACAAGAAAGAAACTCAAGCTGGTTTAGAACACATGGAGGGACAGTAAAAATGACAGAATTGTTCTTTTTGGGATGAGATATGTCTTTATAATATTCTCATATTCCCAGTACTGCTTAGTGCAAAACATACTTTTTTAATGTGTTTATATTTCAGAGAGACGAACATGAAGGTGCGTCAGTCTCTGTCTGTTACCTCAGAGCTGGGAGATCCCAATAATCTGGCCCAGTTTGATGGTATGTGATGTTGTATATTAAATACACTCCAGTTAAATGTGAATGCACTGCAAAAAATGCTTTTCTTTCTTAGATTTTTTTGTCTTGTTTCTAGTCTAAATATCTGAAAATTCCTAAATCAAGAAGAATTTTCTAGACAAGAAAAACATATTTTCTTGTTTTGAGAAATAATATGCCAATAATAAGTGAGTTTTCCTTAAAACAAGCAAAATAATCTGCCAATGGGGTAAGCAAAATAATCTTACGTCAAAAGAAAAAACAAGATTATTTTGCTTACCCCATTGGCAGATTATTTTGCTTGTTTTAAGGAAAAAACTCATTTATTATTGGCATATTATTTGTCAAAACAAGACAATATGTTTTGCTTGTCTAAAAAATGCCTCTTGATATAAGAAATTTTAGATATTTAGACTAGAAACAAGACAAAAAATCTAAGCAAGAAAAGCATTTTTTGCAGTGTGATGGTTGGTATAAATAAGAGAGAGATGAGAGCTTGGGTGAACTGGTGAATTAGAGAATGTGTGTACAGTACATTTAAAATTTTGCAGAATCACCTGAAATATTAAGAATAGAAATGGTATATTTTAGGGTTTTGATAGCACTGTGTGTATTTATATTCACTACATCTGTTCTCTATTTTAGCACAAATTCAAATCAGATAACAGCATAAAGCCAAAACGACACATGCTTAATGGTTCAGGGTTGACTGTGAATAATGCAACATACTTTTGTGAACTGGAATATTCAAACTGACTCAATAGTATTATTGGCGGCATGGTGGCTCAATGGTTAACACTGTTGCCTCACAGCAAGAAGGTCACTGGTTCGAGTCCTGGCCAGTTAGCATTTTTGTGTAAAGTTTGTATACTCTCCCCGTGTTTGCGTGGTTTTCCTCCGGGTGCTCCGGTTTCCCCCACAGTCTAAAGACATGCTGTATGAGTTGAATAGTGCATGAGTGTTTGTATGTGAATCAGTGTGTATGGAGGTTTACCAGTACTGTGTTGTGGCTGGAATAGTTGACAATTCATTCTGCTGTGAGGACCTCAGAAGTAGAGACTAAGCAGAGACTAAAGACATTTTTTAAGGAAAATGAATGAATGAATGAATGAATGAATGTATAGCATTAAACCATTTGATGAAATGTACCATAATAAAACAAAATACAATTATAATCAAATAATGCAGAGCTTCACGGCACCTTCATTTACATAAACTGCTGCCATTACAATGCGAAAAAAAAACATTGAGTACGTTTACATAGACACCAATAATCCAATTTCAATGCCATTAAGACAGTATTATGATTAAAAGTCTACCATGTAATCAACAATTTTTGATAAATTTAATCCGATTGAGGTCATAATCGAAGTAAACTAATCAAATTAAAAGGTGTGGAGTATGCCAATTTTAGTTGCATTATTGAAGTGCAGTCCAGAGTTATAAACACAATCAAACTATTACCCTCGTGTAGGATTTTCGCCGCATTTTGCGACTGGATATTTTATATACATACAGCAGTTTGACACTATTCTCTGCACCCACCGAGTCAGTAAAGGACCACAGACAAACACATTGTGAAATGCAGAGGTTTTTTCCCCATATGGCATGTGGTATCAAATTCCATTAAAACTACACTCTTCCAGCAGTTCATGCTCACGTAAAATATCTTGTTAGTCATGGGAGTATGCATGAAATGTTCCTGAATGAAAGTGAAAGTGCCAAACTGCAGGTAAAGTTGACAAATTACAAATGAAACACCCTAAATTACAGAAAACTCTGGAGGAAATGTGGATTAAGCGGTGACGCAATGATGTTAATCGAATTATGTGCTGTAACATGTAAAACAGCATCATGAAAGGTATATTCAGAAAGCAACTTATGTAAACACTTTAATCATATTATTGTCTCATTCAGATGAATGCACATAATTCAATTACTGATGTCCATGTAAACATAGTAATATATATTAAATGAAATGCATCGTATCACTGAACCTTCACTTAATAAATTGCCACCCTGATACTTAAAATAAAATAAACTTATAACATTTATAATCAAATGAATGCATAACTTTACTGCACCATTTGAGAAATTACTATAATAAGTAATAAAATAAACTGATTAATATGTATATTTTTTATTCATAAATGTTTTATTTGAATGGCTAAATTCAATGCTGTGCTATGCCAATGCAGAATGCAACAGAGAGAGAGAGGAAAACCATATACCGAGTCGACATGTTTAATGCAGTAAATGTGGTGGACAGTTTCTCTGCAACATTTCTTTAACACTGCCACACACACTCACACCAACAAATGAACATATACCATCATACTTGTGTCAGCACAGACCACTTCCTGTTTTTAACAACTATAAAAAATTCCAAATCTCACTAACTGTACAAAGGCCCAAGATGCTGAATAATGCATATTCAAAGAAATGTCAGTCTTTTGATATTTTTTTTACATGTGACCTCATTTTTCCTCTTCAGGAGAAGTGGTGTGTGAGCCTCCCAACAACAAGCTGGACCGTTTCTGCGGGACGCTGTACTGGAGAGAGTGTAAATACCCGCTCAGTAACCAGAACATGCTGCTCCGTGGCTGTGTGCTGCGCAACACTGAGAGCTGCTACGGCCTTGTCATATTCGCTGGTCAGTGTGTGCACTTGTTTAAATGAATTTTACCCCACAAGCATTTTGAACATTTGAGGGGGACAAAATTATTTTGAACCTTTTTTTGGTCATTTTATTCAAAGGAGTCAAAATTTAATTAAACTAATATTTGAATTATGAAATACACATAAAAGTGAGAATGTGTGTAATATGCTGAATATTGTCTCTTCACATAATGTGTGTGTGAGATGGTTCTGTTGTGGTTTAATGTGCTGACTATCATTTCCAATACTAAAATCAGTGTGATACTTTGCAAAGGAAGTTTGCATTATTGATATGCCTCCATTCAACTGTTGTTAATATATATTTGTATATACAGTAGGGTCAATAAGTATCAGGCTGTGATTTTCAGTATAGGTGCATTTCCACTGTAGAGACGGAATCTAATAATAAAAATCCTAAAATCATGTTGTATAATATTTTTAACAATTTATTTGTAAATGAATCACTTGCTTTTAAGCCAGATTTCTGACCCTCAAAGACCTGTTATTTTGCTTTTAGATAGTCCAGCTACATTCTGCTCTTGATTCTGAGTAGCAACATGGGCAAAACCAAAGAGCTGTCAAAAGACACAAGAGACAAAATCGTAGCCCTTCAAGGGGATAATTGCCAAGCAGCTTGGTGAAAAAACAACTGTTGGAGCAATTGTCAGAAAATAAAGGAGGTTAAAGATGACTGTCAATGATGGCCCCTCAGAAGATATGTCCTAGTGGGTTATCAATGATGCTAAAATGGTCAAGAATCAGCCCAGAACTACACTGGAGGAGCTAGTTAATGCCATGAAGAGAGCTGGGACCTCTGTTTCCAAGGCTATTATCGGTGATACACTAAGATGTCATTTTAAAATCATGCATCAAATGAAGGTTCTCCTGCTTAAGTAAGCCCATGTCCAGACCTGTCTGAAGTTTGCCAGGGACCGTCTGGATGATCCAGAGGAGTCATGGGAGAAAGTCCTGTGGTCAGATTAGACCAAAGTAGATATTTTTGGTTTTAACTCCATTCGCTGTGTTTGGAGGAAAAATAATGATGAGTATCATCCCAATAATACAATACCTATAGTGAAGCATAAAACTGGAAGTATCATGCTCCGGGGGTGTTTTTCTGCACAGTGGACTGGATGACCTCACTGTATTAGGGAGAGGATCAACAGGGCCATGTATTGTGAGATATTGGGCAAAAACCTCCTTCCCTCTGTCAGAGCATTAAAGATGGGTCGTGGCTGGGTCTTCCAACATGACAATGGCTTTAAGCACAGAGCCAATAAAATTAAAGAGTGGCTCCATAAGAAGCATATCAAGGTTCTGAAGTGGCCAAGCTGGTCTCCAGATCTTAATCCAATAGAAAATCTTTGGGACCTGAAACTCTGTATTGCTCATGACAGCCTCGAAATTTGACAGATCTAGAGAAGATCTGTGGAGGAGTAGGCCAAAATCCCTTTTGCATTGTGTGCAAACCTGAACTACAGGAACCGTTTGACCTCTCCAAATATTAAACATTTTTGTCTCAAGTGATTAAATACTTATTTGACACACTCATTTACATATAAATTGTTAACAAAATCGTACAATGTGATTTCTGGATTTTTATTTTAAGATTCTCTCACAGTGGAAATGCATCTATGCTGAAAATTCTAGACCCCTCTATAATGTCTAAGTAGAAGATCTTTAAAAATTACAGAGTGATCAAATATTTATTGAGCTCACTGTATATAGACGTTTTATATATTTGACTTTGATCCTCAGAGATCAGCAGTTCAACTGGGTTGTAGGTTGCCAGGTTTTTGCATGATGTACAGTTGTGTGAGTAGGATGTGTTTCATAGAAAACCTGGCAACTGGACTTGAAAAAATGTAAATATAAAAAAAATATAAAAATATATTGATGTGATTATTCAGATAACAATGTTTGGTCATACAATTTTCGGGAGTTTCCTGTGAGAAATAACAAAATGGCAGTCTAAAACTTTTTCATTGATAAAAACGAAAACATTCAAAGTAATACTTGTTTTGGCATCCATGAATAAAACAGCACTGCCTTCTTTGATTTGATTTAACATTAAAGAGCAGAGTCAGGTCGGCGCCAATAGCCCAATGGTCTCTAACTCAATTCCTGGAGGGCCACAGCTCTGAGTAGTTTAGCTTTAACCACCTCCAACTCACACCAGCCTAATATTCTCTAGTAGTCTTGAACACCTTGATTAGTTTAAAACAGCTGTGTTTGATTAGGAATGGAACAAAACTGTGCAGATCTGCGGCCCTTCAAGAATTGAGTTTGAGACCTATGGCCTAGTGGCTAGTGCATCAGCATATAGCACTTAGATGCTCAGGGAGATCCAAGTCAGATTCCCAGCTTGAGGTCCTTTGTCAATCTTTCTACTCTTGCTCTGCTCCCTTCACTTTCTTGTCTGTAATATCCATTTTCTTCATATGTTAAAGGTAAAAAAAATATTACTTTTGTTTTTAAAGAGCACAGTCAGTGTGATCTGGTTTACATTACTGTCAGAGCTGTTTTTGGATGTTCATACGCAAGATGCTGTAGAAAACAAGAGACACAATATTTACATAGGAAAACATTTGACTGTGCACAGTGGATTTGACCTTTGTGTGCTGTTGGGGATGCTTTTATCCACTTTAGGGTGATTTTGAGTCTTAATTTGGCCACAACTTTCTCTGTGTTTCAGCAAATAGAATTATTCTTGGTGACAGATGTTATTTTGAAACATATTTTTGGGGAATAAATGACAATGTGAACAATAATTTAAGCAGAACTAAATGCTTCATTTTTTTTTTTTTTTTGGACTGTACCAGATAAACTGAGAAAATGAAGGGGTGGATTGGGAGACCTCAATATGTCTGTGGCAGTTACAATTTAACCTATTATTTTTTGATTGACCTCAGGTCCTGACACCAAACTAATGCAAAACAGCGGACGGACAAAGTTCAAGCGAACAAGTATAGACAGACTGATGAATACACTGGTGTTGTGGGTGAGTAATAAGTAATTTTTGACTGAAAATAAATAGGCACACATTTGAAGATTTGAAATTAATCCAGTTTACATTTACGTCATCAGATTTTTGGGTTCCTGGTTTGTATGGGAGTGATCTTGGCCATAGGAAATGCAGTTTGGGAGAAGGAAGTTGGTGCTTTGTTCCAAAGTTTTTTACCCTGGGATCCTCCAGTGGACAACTTCCTGTTCTCCGCATTCCTGTCTTTCTGGTCCTACGTCATCATCCTCAACACAGTGGTGCCAATTTCGCTCTATGTCAGGTGAGAAACAGAGAGCAACATGTGGAGTGTTAAAAAAAATTAAAAAAAACATTATTGAAGGAAAGTGCAACCCTCAAAACATTTAGATTATCAGAAGCTCAATCTAAATAATACTATAATAGTAATATTACTATAATATTTTAAAATGTATAAGGTTTGTGAGTTATTTTGTACAATTTGGTATAATTGTGTTTATTTTGTAATTGTCTGTGAGGTAAGCACAACAATGAAAAGTTTGGTCAATTGAATTAGTCAAAAATGTTTATTGTAGTTATTATAATTTGCAGGGTATTATTCTTAATTTACTTATATAATCAATTATTTAATTGTAATCTATTAATATTGTTGTGTCTGCCTTATTATCACTAAAAATCCTTTTTGTTTACTGAAATACTTCAGAAATGGCAGTTAAATAATTTATAAATATGAGTTTAAAGAGCCATGAAACCCCTCTCGTTTGGTTCAAGTCTACCTCAGAAGAGTAGAGGAAAAGAGCTGAGCAAACAACTGACCTAAACCTTGAGATGCATGATTTTATAGTTTACAATGTTAAAATGCAAAGAAAAAACATTAATTAATAAAATGTCCTGCTACATTTGTTATTTGTAATTTCATGTACACATAACCACATTTTGTTATTTCATTATAAAGATAATCATGTTTATTAAAACACTATAAATGAGAAATGCAATCCTCAATCCCTCTGTCTTTTCCAACTATTAGTCCTGCCAGTAATCTGAAAGATTTTTAAACATAGGCGAACACAGTAGCACGGATATAGGCGATGTTACTGAATGGTAACAAACTCAACCGATAAAAGACAAAGTTCATCAATCTTCAATTCTCGTACATCTCTACCAACAAAAATGCTTGCTGCAAACCATCAGCTTTGACAGCATCGCAGGGAAAAACATGCAAACAACCCTGTGGATCATGGAAACAAACACATATGACCCATGCTGTGCGCAGACGTTGTCTCACCCAGTCTGGTTCTCACAGCTTGGCAGGTCTGCCTTGCCTTCAGAAAACACTTGCTCTCATGAATAATTAAGACGCAGGGTATTCTCAGAGAATAAGAAAGCTATGAATAATAATGAGAAATGGGCACGTCCTCACCGGACAGGCAAATGTGCAACGGAAGATGAAATTAGCTAAAAAAAGCTTAAAATTATTCAGTTTCCCCCACAATTAAAGGTGACAGGTGCTATCGTTGTCTTAACTGATGCTCAGCACACAAATCTGTGTCTTGAACCTTCAAGGACTGTTTAGCATTAAATAAGTAACTGGAAAATATAAAACTGAAGCTGATAAAAATATATATATATATTTTTTTTTTTTACATAAATGTCTTAGTATAATAAATATAACAGTATAACAATAATCCCCAAAAAAGTATAATAATAAAAAAGGATTTAGTAGTTAACTGTAACACACGCTATTTTGCAGTATAATATTCCAACTTATACGAAAATGCCCTGAATGCTGCAGATTAATTGAAGATATAAAAAGGCATAGAAATGCACAATTTCAAATCTGAAGACCCAAACAGCTCTGAACAGAATTCCAAGTTGTCAACTTTAAAAGAAGGTGATTGTGTAGCATTAGTACAATCTACTTTTCATTTAGCTCGGTTGCTATTTTATTTCTCTGTTGCTGTATTACTTTCTACAAAAATCCAAAAATGTATTACATTTATGTAAAAATGGCTTTTCAAATCTTAAAATGTATCTTCTTTGATTTAGATGCATTTTTTTAAGTATCAGCTTCAGTTAATTTTATGCTTGAAACATCTTTTATTTGTTATTCAGTTTATATTATTTTTATTTATTTTGTTGTTTTTTATATTTCCTCAGACTTTCTCCAACAGGTAAGAGTTAAACCCTGTGGTAGACTTTCCTTTTTTTCTTTCTCTGCTATAACCACAGTTTCCCATATAACACAGTCCATCTATAACACCACTAAAATCCTGAACCAAGCCCTTTTGCACTGGCCCTGTAAATGACCTTTAACGCTGTCCAGTCAATGTAACTCTCCTAAAAGTCAGACAGAAATAACTGCAGCATCATGGCACAGCACATGCACACTGGTTTATGAAGTCTTTATGAATTAACATTGTCAGATACTTCTTTTAATCCTCATGCAGGCTGCTGTGCTATTTTCTGTTTTTAAATGTGCACTAAATAACCTGTGGATCCATGTGTGTTTTTTGTGTACATTACCAGTCAAAAGTTCAGAATTAGTATGTTCTTTAAGGGACTCTGCTTTAGCCTATTCTGGGGTGTGTTTCCAAAAACCATAGTTAGTCAACTAAAGTTGCAAGTTTCATCATTACAAACATAGTTCACTGATTTGTGTTTTCCAAATCCGTTGTTCCAATGAACATTCGCAAACTGCATCACAAACTTGTACACCTGCAGCTACACCTCTAGAGCTGTAGATAGAAGCATAGTTCATGGCTGTGTTCTATTACCAGTTATCCCTTCTATGCCCTATTCATTTAGAACATTCTAACATTAAAGCTTGGAATGATTTAAAAAACATTAAAGTCATCTCTCTTAGGTGTAATTTGCTTTCAAAGTATTTTTACACTTCAGTTTAAGTGATCTTTAAATTGACAAATGCATCCCCAAATTCATATATATATATATATATATATATATATATATATATATATATATATATATATATATATATATATATATATATATATATATATATATACATAGCATACGTTAATGCTTTTAATTTATAGTAGGTTATTTATTAAGAAATGTATCTGTATGACATGGGCCTGTTGGTTAGAACATTTCTGTGGTGATTTGAATGTGTCAAATTGTAAAAATAAATAAAAAACAATATCCTACTTAATAATAATAATAATAATAATAATAATAATAATAATAATAACAACAACAACAACAACAACAACAACAACAGCAACTAAATTAATAATAATAATAAAACTATTATTATAATTATAATAATAATAATAATTATTATTATTATTATTATTATTATTATTATTATTATTATTATTATTATTATTATTGTTATTGTTATTATTATTATTATTATTATTGTTATTATTATTATCATTATTATTAATAATAATAACAATAATAATAATATAATAATAATAATAATAATAATAATAATTATTATTATTATTATTATTATTATTATTATTATTATTAATATAAATATTAATTATAATTAATAATAATAATAAAATATATTATAATAATAATAATAAGTAAGGTTTTTTTATTTTAATTTGTTAATAAATAGCCTACTGTAAATTAGGCCTTATAACCATGAACGATTTATATGGTTTATATATGAAATTAGAATACCTGTTAGCTTAGTGATTTTATATGGAATATTCTCAATAATTTTTGTAAATGAAACATATACAGGTCTTATATGTGTCGTTTACATATATATTTAGATTAATTAAAGGAAAGATGAGTACATGTTTTTAACAGAACTAATATAATTTTTTTAAAATGTCTGTGCGTGTAAAATAATATAATTTGCGCAAATTTTTTGGGGGGGTTTTCTTTAAAGAAGTAGTTACTCCACCCTGTTTAGAGCATCATTATGGATGTTTTACATTATTACTAGAGTGGTTCAAATGATGGATCTGCGACAGAGTAACTTATGATTTTGTGAAACACTACTCACTACATCGTTCTTTTCCCAAACGATGCATCGTACTATGATAGTTCAGCCACAAGCTATGTCGTTGTTTGGGAAACACACCCCTGCTCACCGAGACTACATTTATTTGATCATTTGTTATAAAAAAAAAAAAAAAAAACTGTTCAATTGTGAAATACTATTATGCTAAAAATGTTTGTTATTGAATATTATTTAAAACATTTATTCCTTCAAATTTTAATTCATTGCATCATTCCTTCAGGCTTCAGTGTTACATGATCAGTTATTATTGGGACTCAATTATATAATATAATAATGTGTTTTTAAATGATCAATGTTGAACATTTTATTGATTTGTAGAAACAGTTTTAAGGATTATTTGATGAATGTTCAAAATAACAGCGTAACTCTGTTATTGACACTATAAAATGCCTTTAATTTGACCATTAAACAATTTAATGTGTCCTTGATGAATAAAATTAAATACATTTGGTACTTTTGAATGATACTATATTGAAGTTTTCAAAAAAAAAAAAAAAAAAAAGAAGGCCAACAAATTTAAACACTGATACTAATTGTAAATGTTTCTTGAACAGTAGGTAACAGTAATATTATAAGGATTTCTGAAGGATCATGTGACATTGAAGACTGGAGTAATGATACTGAAAGTTCAGCTCTGAATACATTTTACATTAAATTAATATTCAATACACAGGAAAACGGTTGTTTTAAATTATAATATTTTACAATTTGACTTTTTTCTTGCTTTTTTCACTATTTTTATTCACATAAATGCAGTCTTGGAAAGAAAGCAGAAAGGGGTTCTTTTAATGGTCATTTTGAATGTTTCTGCTGGAGATCAGGTTACATATACATTTCTCTTTCTTTTTGTGTAAATGTGTTAGTGTGGAGGTGATTCGTCTGGGTCACAGTTACTTCATTAATTGGGACCGGCGGATGTTCTGCAGTCGCAGTAACACGGCAGCAGAGGCCCGGACCACCACACTGAATGAAGAGCTGGGACAGGTGGAGTACATCTTCAGTGACAAGACAGGAACACTCACCCAAAACATCATGACCTTCAACAAGTGCTCCATCAACGGCCACGCATACGGTAAGAAACACAACGTACAAGCAGTTATACTTTGTTCAGATGGTCATTATCACAAAATCACTAGGCTTGTGTCTTTTTGAAAGTGTTTGCTTAGTGAACGACATCCGACATTTGCATCCTGGATAAAAAAAATTAAATAAAAAAAAACTTTTTTCCCCTTTTTTCTATTTGATTTGTAAAAAGCTGAATAGATTATTTAGTTTAAAAACACTTTTTTACGCTGGTTGGAAGTGTCTTTGAATAGTAAGTTAATATAAGTTAATAGTTCTAAATGTATTTACATATGGTTGAGGTAAAAATTATTAACCCTCCTTTTAAATTCTAATTCTTTAATATTTTTTCCCAATTAAATTTTGTTTAATGAAGATAATTTTTTTAACACATTTCTAAACATATTAGTTTTAATAACTAATTTCTAATAACTCATTTATTTTATCCTTGCGATGATGACACAGTGTTGGGGGTAACATATATTATAAGTATAACATATTATAAGTAACAACCGTTACATAATAATATTACTTTTTTAAAGTAATGAGTAAATTAACGCATGTCTTTTAAAAATAGGTAATATTATTTAAGTTAAAAATATATAGTGGAATAAAAGTTACTCTAGGTTGACTCACACACTCAACGAGAGAGTCAGTGTTCTGTTCTAGTAACTGGATAACTCAGGATATTTAGTTTATTTTGAGTCAGATGGGGTATCCGGCATGTTTAAAAGTAAGTAATTAAGTACTTACAGAAGATGCAAACCGTTTCACGGCAGCTCTGTTCAATCTAATGAACTGGTTTGACCGGTTCACTTAGATCTGGTTAAAAACAAATTTATTCGCGAATCGCTAGTTATCACTACAGACTGTCAGAAACAGAAACAATGGCAGGCTGAAGACTTATATTTTTGCTATGGATTCTTCTTATTTTAAACCAATCGAAGAAAAAGAAATGGATTGTTGTTAAGTGTAGGTTATGTGTAAGTAAAACTCTTGACAACTGCAAGAAACAGGACATCAAAAAAAAAAAAAAAAAAAAACAGGATGCAAAGCACTAAACTCACACCCCAACTCAAGCTAAACAACAAATAATTGACATCAGTTCACTGTCTGCAGGTAAAACAATTAATTCGACTAAACTTTAAAAAAAAAAAAAAAAAAAGGTTATTGCTTTTATTGTTGATGAGATGCAGCCACTGTCTACTGTAGAAGCGACTGTGTTTTGTAATATAGTAATATTTGTTCTCTTTTTTCTCAGGAAACAATGTACACATATCTTAGGGCCATGTGAAGAGATTTATTCAATGAATATGCTGAAAGATTTATTTTGATTTGGGGTTGTTTTTTTAATCATCTTACTGTTCATTTTTTTATTGAAACATTGTTAAACATTTTTGCCTTAATATAAATTATTATTTTATGTCAGTACTCTTAGGCTTTATTGCAAGCTT